GATATGGTTTTCCTATTTTACTGAGTAACTCTGTAATTTTCGTTAAATACAATTCGGTTGCCCCACCTGTGTTCTCGTTCACTACAATACAACTAGAATTTTGCATTTTTTAAATAAATGATCTTTAGAATAAGATCATTGTGAAAATAACTTAAGTTTTACTGGATCAATTTTTAAAATTAGTTCTGTTTAATACAACTTATTTACAAAACTTTTATTAGGTTGAGCAAGACCGTGGATTGATAGAAGTTAGACATTAACACTGTTAGGATGCCGACTTAGGTGGCTAGAGGTTAAGCGTTCATGAGAGAGACTGAATGTCCTTGATTCGATTTCCTCGAGCGAAAGTCACGGATACGCCCTGTTGATCACTCTCATACTAGGACGAAACGGCTGTCCGCTGCTTTTGGAGTGATTCCGTTCAATACTCCTTACACGTACATTCAGAATCACGTTGTTTTATGTCACTTAAAACATGATCATTTAATAACAAACGTGTTTATGTTGGAAGATTTTAAGAGAAAAACAATATTTTACATCTTAACTTCATACAAACAATGACATCAAGCGAAAAAAATATTTTTTTTTTTAGGTATATACAAATTGTAGAAAAATGTTTTTAAATGTATGCGGTGATTTTCAAATTTTGCTTTATTATTTTTACCATTATTATTATTATTATTATTATTATTATTATTATGTGAAACGTGACATTAACTTTCACTTTTGCATTTTTAAAAATCATCCATTTTTATTTCATTTGAATAATATTTGAAAGAGAACAATAAAGGAGTCGTGGATGCGCACTGCTGAGGAGTCCCATACCAGGACGAAACGGCCGTCCAGTACTTCCAGGTTTCTAATGGTGGTCTAACATTGATCGATTCATGGTTTCAGAAATGTGTAATAAAGATAATGTTAGAAATATAATAATTTTTGTTAACATCATATTAGTCAAACATCATAGGAATTTTCAAGATAGGACAAAATTAATTGTTTAGGTTCACCTTAGTTTTCAATAATTAATTCGTTTATATCAATCTGAAAAAACTAAGAAACACAAATTCCAGTAGGTAATGTAGGATTTAAACTGAGGTTTGGATTGAAGAATAACTAACTGTCCAGGTAGTTTAGATACGCGTCTTACCCAGTTTAAAACCAAAACAATGTGATTTGGGTAAATGACGCTATTGATATTCATCATAAATATAAATTTACATCATTACCTAAACAATATTACCACTCAGCTGTTCCACAAACAAGTGTCCAATTATTCAAATAGACAGGAACAAATAAATGTTATTCTATCCATCCTGGATAGATCAGATTCGTTCTACAGATAATATTTAGTTGCTTTATAACACAGAGTGTTTCCTATTCTGGAAGGGTGCTCCTATTCATAAATCAAAATGCACAATTCCAATCAATACAAGCAACTCAATCAAAAGAGGAACAAATCAAAATGGCTGTCGCCATGACTAAGTATCAGCTTAAACAACATAAAAACTCAGTAAAGGCAGAAGAAATAGAATACAAATATTATCATCTCAAAATGGAATCGAACAGATTAACCAAATGTAAAACTGAAAGAATCAATAAGGACATATTACAAATATATACATGGAGGGATTTTCACAAACCAAGCCTTCGAAATGGATCTTACAGGTATTGTATTATTTAAAAAATCTCACCTTTGTTTACTTGTAATTTCATTCCGAATTGAGTTGAATTAAGTTTGATATAATCATATCAATTCTTTTTTTAAATAATTAACAATATTGACTGTAACAGTTGACAAATGTAAGTAACTTAAAATTGTTTGATTAGTCAATACCTCAAACCATTTCTTCCTCATATGACAGTACACAAAACAGTTCATGGAATCATTCCTGTGTGAATTATTTATTCGAAAACTTGAAAATCGCTTCTAGAATTTACTTATTCAAATTGTAATCAGGGTGAATTAATAAAATGCCTGTAATTTATTTTCAACCAGTACTATGATTGTTAATTTCACTAACAGTTACATCACTGCATCAAAACTACAATTGAAATTTGTAAGAAAGAAAACCACTTACACTATTTTCATTTGTCTGTATGGTCTAAAGATAAAGTTGAAAATTCATTGGAAAAGCATGTGAAATGGTCGAAAACTTCCATATATTTCAATAGACTTTTATCTAATCACCAAAGCTATAGTATCTCTCTCTATTCTACATCCAGTTCCATTCTTTCGGAACTGAAACTTAGGCAAGATGAAATTGATAAGACGCCTAAATGTTATGCTCGTCACTACGTATGCTTGAAACTATTACGGGTTCACCTTAGTCGATAAACGAGAACGAGACAATGAACTAGCGTCCTGGTAGGCTACTCTAATCCGTTGACCCAAAGGAACTAACGAGCAGTCTTGATATGGGGTAGAAAGTGTATTCTACAAACACCCAACAAGCACAATGAATTCAAGCACACGAATCGCGTATTTTTATACATCATAGAGACGTCCTTGGGAGAGTCACAAAAATGACACACTAAAATAATACAGTAACCAATTAAAACCAAGGATTTTCCAGGTGGGGAATGTGATCTCAGGGGGTAAACTGATCAGTTCATGAATAAAATCCAAAATAAAGATATTTATCAAGCCTGCTCCCAGGATCTAACTTCCCCAACACTAAGTAATTAGAAAATCAATATTTGTAACTTAATTCCCCCCTTGGTTGATTACGGTGTATCGAATTCACTCTACAATTTCAAACAAACTTTATTCATAAATCCCTTTTATATCAAGTTCGTTTTATCTGTTCGGAAATACTTCAAAGATTTTCCTTTAAATAACATTTTTCATTATGTTTTTTGTACAACAATATTCAAGAAAAATGATCTGTGTTCAATTTTAAAGGTAAACCGTCTACTTTATCAAAACTAGTAAAATGTTTATGTCGAAGTAATCCATATACGCCAACAAGTATTGATCATATAAAATTCATTAAAGAATATCAACAACAGGAATTTTTTTAAATGTTTTCAAAAAAAGTTCTACTTCTAATTAATGAGAAACTATTAATTTTATATATTTCCAAATGGTTTTCTGTCAAAATTGCATTTTAATGAAGAGAAATATAAAATTGTTTAGAATTCGCAACACTATTTATAAAATTGATGGGATGATAGTGTTGTTAAGTGACAACAGTCAATTGGTTTTACCTTAGTGGATCTCAGAACACATTCAGAATTGTTAAGCATTCGTTAAAATAACCTACACTTTACAAAACACTTTAGTTACAACCAAGAACAAGATGCCTTTCTACATCAATACAAAATTATGTCCACAAACTAGGTTGGGTCGATTATGACATATTCTTTATCCAGGAGTCTCCTCATGAAATCTGGATTCATGTCAAAACACGCTTCAGCTACACCAAAAGACATTCTAATGATCGTATTGAGCTAAAAAACAATAACACTATATCCTATTTCATTCTGCTTTCAGTAGGAAATAGAAGGCCGGACTATTTATGCAACTTGACCTGCTTATGCAAATAGACATATTTCACTCAAATCATCATCGACACAGTCCTACGCTAAGTCATGAAACATTAGAAATAGATTTCTACTCACTGGGAAAATACCAAAAATTATGATTATAAGACTCAATGTGACAGAATTCGGTGGCAATAGGGTGACGATAGTCAGTCAGTCAGTCAGTTGCAACGTAGAACTTCATACGTAAGTACATCAGTTCATGTCGCAATACCACATCAGCACAGATGTAATTGTCAATTAAAATCCAATAGTAGAAGAGGTAGTAAGGGTATTAGAAGTAATCGGAGAGGTTAGGATGAGAAGATATTATTCAAGAAGTATGATTCAATGAGAAAAGTTTAGAAAGTCAAAACTAGAGGTGTTGAAGAATCCAGAAGATTAAGATTTGAGAGAACACAAAGAATAAATGCACTAGCGCCATTGCAAACGATTTTGAGCCATGTCATTCAAGGTCTCTAGCCATCGATTATTATCATCTCGCGGACCCCAACCAGGTAGTCGACAATTACCGACATGGCTCAGTCCACTCGTCAATGACTTCATGGATTTATGCCATGTTTTGGTTTGGCCGCCCCTAACTTTCTTCCAACCTACTCCTACACAGCAAAATATAGCTCGACGAGGGAGTCGCTGGTTAGGCATACGCAAGACATGTCCCAACCACCTCAACTGGTGAGGTTTCAATACTTCATCGATTGATCTGCCATTCTTACCTAGCACCCGATTCCTAATAACAGCGTTGCTCACTCGGTTGTCCCACGATATACGAGCAATGCTTCGAAGACACCTATGATCGAAAACCAGTAACCTACGAATATCTTCTACTCTCACTGACCATGTTTCACAGCCATAAAGTAAGACGGAGCGAACCACTGCGCAGTACATTTGTCCTTTAGTCAGCAAACGGATGGATATCTTACGTACGCCATAAATGACGCAGGTTGGCAAAAGCTAATCGAGCCTTCTGTATCCGAGCTGAGATTTCGTCATTCACCAGGCCATCGGCACAGATGAGACTCCCAAGATAAGTGAAGCGGTCTACTCGCTCGACTACTTCACTCCCTATCACTAGTTCAGGTGCTGATGCAACCCAATCATAAAGCCAAATTTCGCATTTCGAGGGTGAGAACCACATCCCGAACATGCTTGCATTGTTGCTTACGGTAGTCAGAAGACTCTGCATTTTGTCAGCGTCTTCACCGAATAGGACTATGTCATCGGCACATTCTAAGTCAATAAGCGAGCCACCTGGTTGAAGATGGTTGTTACGATGCAAATAAGTAAGAAGAAATTCAAAGTTTGTCAGTGTATTTAATGCCTGTGTGTGTGTGTTGACAAAAATATACTAATCCTGTATACTTACTAGAATGTTGTAGCTTGTATATACATATATAAATGACGTACAAACGATAGATATATCCAGTTAAATTCTTATTTACATATTTTATTTTAATTCTGTATTATAAAAATGATAAATTACATCATATATATACATACATTAGGGGAAAAATAAAATTTTCTTCTTTGCTCCATTTGAAAATATGTTGTTTTTTTTTTGGTTTAGTAAAAGTATTGACTTTGTTTAATTAACACTTGAAAATGTGTAAAAAATGGTTGATCTGATCGTGATACAATTTTATATGATAATGTATTTAATCCATCAGAATTCATCAATTTATTTGATCTTTCTAATAATTTTTCCAAATTATTTGATTGTATATTATATTGTGATGTATGTGGTATATGAATATATCGTCCAATTCTATGATTTACATGTATATATCTAATCCCAGTAGTTTTAAGACGTTTTTCAAAATTATCATCATTTTCATTCGTCAAACCCCAATATTTATTAGAATAACCATTGACAGTGATAAAATGATGTGAAGAAATTTTTAAAACTCCACCAATAAATGTTTCATATGGTAATTTAAATCGATTACTGCTGATTGCAGGACTTAAATGAATTACTATCTGTTTAGTCAATGCGTCATCACATCGATATGAATTGTAATAGTTAATTGGTGCTAAATCGACGGCATGAAATATGACACATTTAAATTGAAAATATTTTAATGCTTCAATAAATCCAATATTATTTAATTTACCTTTATTGATTGCTACCAAATGGTCAATTTGTTCAATGATAAATATACGATAGCATAAATGTTGTTTTTGTAGTATAGGGATAAGTGTAGACAAAGTGATATAAAGTTGTTTGAATTGATTTTTTAATGCGATAATTATAGCAACTCCATTTTGTGGAATAGTTTCACAGAATTCTTTATTAACTGTTGTATATTGTTGTTCTTGATTGTCAACATTACGATTATTATTATGATTATTGTTATTATTGTGAATATTCGGATTGTACATCCATGATCCACCAGGTAAATGAAACTCACTAATATTGTATAATGTTTGTAAATCTGCATTGAAATTAGGCCATAATCGACGAGGCATTTGAATGGGTTTTAAAAAATAATTCAATTTGTTTTTAGATAGTTTAGTTATGAGTTGACAAATATTAGAACATGTTTGTGGTATCAATAAATCATCATGTTGCTGTTTGTGAATAGTTTCTTCATAAACGGTGATCTGTTTATTGGTAGTAGTAATGAATAAGTATAAAATATGTAATGATAAAAATAATACAATGATATAAAAATATACATGTTTAGAATAGTTGAACATTGTTTTAAATAATCTAATTAATTTCATAGTATATAACTCTTGTCTCTTTTATTGATTAGTCATTATTCCTAATATTTATACAAATTTATATAAGTATAAATCAGAAATGAATTTTACGTTTCACAATTACAACAGACCAAAATTAACACTCTTTCTGTGCAGCCAATCAAATTAGCTTCTTTTTTTTTCTTTCTTTTTCGTATAATATTTATTTGATTGCATTGTTATTCATTTACTGATTGGAGTGAATAATAATAAGTGAACATTACAATGGCTCTCTATGTGTAATTCTCTTTATTTGACTAGAGTGAGTGAGTGTGAGACACACAGAGAGAGAGAGAGAGATGGTGATGATGATGATGATGATGATGGTCCTGTATGAACATATTTTTGCAAAAATAAACGTTTGTCAACCTGTAAACAAGCAAATAATGATGGTATTGCAGGGCATGTCATTGAGTATAATTTATTATGATTTACATCGATTGGTTAAATGAAAAGATCTAATGCAATTCAATAGGTGATTAAGATGTAGCAGACTGTAGAAATAAGATAAAATATATATATATATGTATCATTGTAATCTGTTATACTTCAGGTATATAAAAACTCAAGAAGTAACTAATAATATGAAAAAGTAATCTATCAGAATTGACAATATTCATGGTAGCTGGAATTTAAAGTAAAAAATATGATTTGAAGTGATAAGTGAACTAGTTAACAGGTCTAATTGTATGAAAGGAAATTACAGGTGTAGAGGAAGTGAATTGCATTGAAAACAACCTTGAATTGACATTTATTCCGGTCAAAAGACCTAACACACACTGAATGATGTCATCTCAAATATTATAAGTCAGTGTGAGTTTCCAGGTAGGATGTAAATCCTTAGAATATGCTGAAAAGAAGGAGGTTCCTGTTGGATCAGTTATAAATGGTATTTCAAATGGGTTTTGTTTTAAAGAATACTACTTATGACAAAAGCAATTTATTGAAGAACAAACTTAGACTGACCATTGAATATTAAGCATTTTTTGTTTATTAAGAGTTAGTTATGACCTGAGTTACTTTGTAATCATACGCTCAACGATTTGGATTAAATCTTGGAAAGAAACATAAATGTTCTTAGGAATTGAGGAAAAGCTTTCTTATTGAATTCGAGTGATCGTTTTTATTGATTTATTATGGTCATCCAACACTACTGATTAATTCGAAGTAGACTGATTGTCTAAAAGTGTTAAAATCATTCTAAAACGAATGTTATGGTTTTTAGTTTTGGTGAATCGATTTGTATTGAACTATTCTAACTCTCATTTCTCAGTAAGGATTTATGGTTTAACCGAGTAATAAGTTTATCTGACTGAATCATACTTCTCGAATCATATCTTCGCTCCTTAATCTTCTCCATTACTGCTAATACATCTGCTATCACTATCACTCTTGGATTTGAACTGACAGTTGCGTCTCCGTGCTGATGTGGTGTGGCAACCTGAACTGATGTATTTACGTAAGAAGTCCTGCGTTTTATCTGTCTGTCTGTCTGAGTAATATTGGAGCATAGACAACATAAATCTCAGTATCTTCTTGCAAAAATGTTTTTCTGATACAGTTTCTATTACGTAATGGTTTGAATTGATCGCTGAATTGTAATCTTGATGATATTTGACCAAAAGCTAAATGACCTTTCATTACTTGATCTTCCAATCTGTGACAAACCTTCCAGCCTTCACATCCTCACATGTAATCGTGTGAAATAAATCTAAATGGGTGCAAAATAAAGCAATCTATTTGAAATTAATTACAATTAATATGATCAAGAAATATGGATCATGCTAATGGTAACGTCTTAAAGATTTTCTATAAACTCTACCTGCATTCGGTGAATTGAAGTCAGGATGTTATTCGCTTATTCAAACTCAGTAGGAAATAACTAGTATATTTGAGTCAAGAATTTCAGATGGTTTAAAAATCCATTTACTTGGATTTTCGTTTCATTTCATGGTGAATTTCTTATATACAAGATTGTTTTTTGGTGTAAAAGTGAAAAAAAGGTTTCAAACATTGTCACTGAAAGTGACATCGAAACTGCTCAGCTCTCAGAAGTTTAAAATTCCAATGAAAAAAAATTTATCATCTGAATGCTAAATAGATTCATCGATCTCGAATTTACAAACGAAATTCATAATTTCATTGTATCTACATAAATCTGCTGATCGTTTTGAATATTCTCTTTTTTTTCTCTTCAAAAAAGAATAAGATTCATGGGAGTCACTGATCTTGTCATTTGCAAAACAAATAACCGAAAGTAGATATTTACATAGTTGTCTATCAAATTTGACAGCTTTGAAATAAAATGACGGAGAGAAATATGTGTAGAACAACTGAATCACGTGTAAACTACGTAAAAAGTTTTAAAAATAACTTTATTTTTATGCAAATACTGCTGATTCCGTATGCACATAGGACACTGGTTAAACAGCGTGGCAAAACAATAACGTCAATCTTTAATATTTCAGTTAATGGTGCTATTAAGTAAAGATCATATAGATCTTTGTGATAAGGTTAAATGGAAACAAAAGTTTTGAGTTTAGAAATTCAGAACTATAGAGTTATGTAATGTGTTAGTTAATTTAATGGACGGAAGATAGATGAGATTCATTTTAATCACGTAATTGAACTCCTGATTATTTTAAACAGAGTGATGAATAAATAATCTTGTAAATTTCAAGAACGTTCAATTTGAATCAACCATAAAAATAGATCTTAAACTATTCAGTTCATTGTTGATATCTAGTAATCAAGTAAATACATATATATCATAAAATGGATACAAAAACCGTCATCATTGTAATCAAACTCAGTTTTCAAACTAAGGTCAGTTAATCGTGTTATCAGATCATCACCAATGAATGTAATTTATGATTTAGTTTCTAAAATGTTCAACATCTTGTTATGAACACGTACAGAGCGAGAGAGAGAGAGAGTCAGTTACATGCTTGTTAAACGCTTTATTCACTTATCTCTTGAAATGTGATTTATCTCTTATGTCACGTTTATTTAAACAATTATTCTATTACCAAATCATTCTGATATCTGATTAAACTATAGACTTTCACACATTATGATGATATTTAGAGTAAATGAAAAACGCTGGAAGCAAAGTGTCATGTTAAAAAACTATAAGTTAAGCATTATGGTATAAACTTAATTTATTTTAGCTTGTAAATCGAAATGGGCCACTGACCAGGATTCTCCAATATCCTCTTTTCTGGAGCCTTCCTTCCTAATTCTATCCAAATGCTGTTCATTCTTCACATGTCTGCTTCCGATGTTCTTTAGTCTTCTTCCTCTTCTGATTTGGCCTTGAGGATCTAAAGTGACGGCTTGTCTTGTGACGCAATCGGGTGCTTTCTTCACTGTGTCCTATCCACTTCCATCGCTTCTTCCGATCTCTTTCTCAGATAAAATCTGGTTTGTTCTATGCCACAATAGGTTGTTGTCGATGGTGTCTGGTCAGCAGATCCGAAGTATTTTGTGAAGACAGCTGTTAACAGATACTTTTATCTTTTGGCTAATGACTTTAGTATTTCTACAAATAAAATTGTCTTGACATTTGTATTGGAAATTCTGACTTTGGTGTTTGTTGACAGATGTTTTTCAGTTTTAGAAATACTGCCCTTACTTTGCCGATCCGCCCCTTCATATCTGCATTAGATTCACTTTGCGCACCAATGATGCTGCTCCATTCTATAAAGGTTTCCACATCATCCAAGTGTATGTTAAGACCTACTGTGGTGCGAGCTACTTATAAGTAGTATATGACGTGAGTGTCAACGTAATGTCTGGCAGCAGAAGATGGGGGGAAGATCAAGAAAGGAAGAGTTAGAACACAATGGAATTTGTATGAAACGCATGAATAGTGACAATGGATTGATATTTTGCAACAGGAACAGTCCAGTTCGATATGATGGACTGATATTTTGCAAATGAACGATTAACGATATGGTTTTCCGATTTTACTGAGTAACTCTGTAATTTTCGTTAAATACAATCCGGTTGCCCTCACCGGTGTTCTCCTTCACTGCACTACTGCTGCAGAGGATACTGCCACACTGACTGTCGTCACCTATAATTGTTTTTGTGTGTATGATAGGACTTTGAGATCATCTGCGAATTCTGGATAGTCTAGCTGCATCCTAGCAATACACTACATTCCTTGCGTCCGCTGAAATATTGACATCTTCATAATCCAGCTGACCGCCAGCAAAGAGATAAAGGTTGAGAGTAGGTAACCTTTCCTGACACCGGTCTTAATTTGAAACGAGTTGGTGAGCTGTCCTCCATGCACGACCTTGTCCTTCTGGAGCCTCTCTGGGATTACTTCCGATTCCAAGTCCGGATAAAGGAGGCTGGTTGGGCAAGCGAATACCAACCCCAGACTGTAGCAAATCGAATCGCTAAAAAAACGCCAACCAGAAAAAATACGGCATAAAGCTTGTAGACCAACCGAGAAAACATCAGAATATTACTAAGGTTGTAATCACTGATCCAATTATTTGTATTTTTTTTGAAAAGAAGTGGTAATCTACGAAAGTATAACTTTAAAGTATCAAAATTACGAAAACTGTCAGTCTCAATAAGGTATACAACTACAGAATGTTTTCTACATAAGTCACCAAAACCATAGTACTCAATGTTCCAAAACTATGAGTTCAGCTACTTAAAGCTTTTACTGACAAAGTATAATGGCTGCACAATACGCTTCTCCGAACATTTTTCAACCAGGCTTTCAAAAAGATTATAGGAGTCAATGAAAAATTCAATTTCGGAACATTTAGTCAATTCTGGCAACCTCTCTTCACCGGAAGCCTCCTTCATACTCTTACATACAGTCAGATGAGTTGACCAAAAATGAATGAAAATGACGAATTTATGTACAGTAGAGGCTATTGCTACCCACTAGTTCAAATCGAACCTTTACGTAAAGAACCAATATGTCCAGTAGCTTATTCTCCCTACAGTCTTAAAAACTGCCTTTCAATCCTTCCATAAT